TAGTCTACGTGGAAAGTATGTATGGATTGATGCAATCGAATCAATCACGAGCGAGTACAATAATCGTAAACATCGAACAACGGGGATGAAGCCGATCGAAGTAAAGGGCGACACACATCTGTACGCCTACCACCACATCAAGCTCTTCAACAAGAGATATCGTTTTAATGTTGGCGATGTTGTTCGAATTAGCAAATTTAAATCCATATTTGCGAAAGGATACACACCAAACTGGTCCAGTGAACTCTTCAAAATTGTAAAAGTTCGAATAACCAATCCGGTGACGTATTTATTGGAAGACATGAAAGGAAAATCGATACTAGGAGGATTTTATGAACAAGAACTGCAAAAAGCCAAGTATTCGGATGTATATTTGGTGGAAAAAGTGTTAAAACGTAAGAAAGACAAGGTGTACGTAAAGTGGTGGGGATTAGACGAGAGGTCGTGGATTGATAAAGATAACGTAGTTTTATAAGTTTATTTAATGTATGATGTACTATTACAAATAAAACTAAAATAAACTGTTATATTCTGTTTTATTTTTTACCATACAAAGTTTTTAACAACCACATTTCCCTTTGGTTCATCTTTCATGATTTTTTTAAGGAGCGTAAATGTTCTTTTGTAGTCGCTTAATTGGGTAGAGGGCCAAAATGCGCTATCTGGCCCGCATGTCCATCCCAGCGATGCGTTTGGAACTTCGCTGCCTCTGCGAATGTTCTCCAGTATCCAGTTATAGACTTTTTTATGGCGAGCGTCCTCGTATGGCCTAAATCTGTACTGCACATTTCGCTTTATACAAATATCATACAACATTTCAAGAGCCTTGACGTTCGCATATTCTATGGCCGTACACATGGCATCGTCCATTATGCACAAAAAATTCTTATAATTTTTCACTATGCTATCTACATTAAATTGAGCGTCCTTAACTAAATCCAGGATATACATTCTGATGTGTAAAGGAACTTCAGGTAACAATGCAAGATTATTACTAACACACATTTCACTTAAAATGCTAAATCTGTTTACAAAGTGCCTAACTGTACAGTCAAGTTCTTCTTTCTTGTCAAATAAAAATGTTAGTTTATTGCAACAAACGTTTGTCGATTTGATGCACCAGTTGAAGCACTCGTCGGGTATTACAATGTTTTGCAATATTTGATTAATGATCACATAATTTTCAATTGACCAAATGTCCATTAAAGCACTCTTTAAATGTTTTGTATATATTATGTGAGACGATTGAAATAATTCTCGCTCCAATTGCACTTTTTTATCCGAACGATTTCCGCAACTGTTGCTCATAATCTGAAAAAATAGGCATTCAATTGAAAGATGTTTCGAGGTCGCGAAATATGCGGATTAGGCCAAATTATAGCCCCAAGGCCGCGTATTGATACAATTTAAACTGATAGAACGTTTATCATCGTGAGGACTAAGAACCACCTTATTCTGCCTTATGGTGAACACAGAATGCTTCTGTGACCTAATTAGATATTGATCCCTTTTTACAATGTCATCGTTAAACAAGCAACGTTTGTAATCTTGTAAAGTTATTTCACGAATACTAGCGGCTGTCGAACCTTTTGATTTTTTTAACACCTTGTCGTCCACTCGGTACGCGTACATTTTTGCCCTTAAACCCACGAACTCTAACATTATTTTTCCATTGTTTTCGTCTTTCATCAATCCGGGGACTTTTTTATTGACAGGAGGTATACCAAAGGGATTATTTGGGTTATAACTGGATGTGTCGAATCGATTAATGTTCTCTTTGATTGATTGATATATGTCCGGCACTGCAAAAGAGTATACAAGACTATCAGTGTCGGTGTACAGGAGTTTTGCGCGATCACCGAATTCCCGTAATACATAATTGTAGTGAAAGTCGTAGAGGAAAGTTTTCGATACGTCTAAAACCGTCAACCCCGCATAAATTGGTTTGTTAAGAAATACCTCCAACCGATTCATTTCTATTATCGCGATATCGTCATCATCGAAAAGAGTGCAGCTATGGAAGTTTGGCTTGGAAATATACGCACGAGCGCCATAGCGACCTTCCCACTTTGTCACCAAGCGAACATCTTTATATTTTCTTACATTTTCCATCAGTTTTCCAAAAACGCTATTTACCATTAGCTTATAAAAATTTATTTCAAAATCGTTTGTAGACTGTTTTCTCATACGTGTATTCAATTCGATATATTTTTTTAACCACGCCGATTGTTTGAAACGCAACACACGGTTAATTTTAACAAGTTTCAGTCCATGTTTAATGTAAAGCTTTAAATTTCGGTAGTGTAATACGTAGTTGCGTTTCGGGAACAAAGTAAGCATTAATTTCTTTATTCTAGAGCCGGGAGGACACATGTGTTCGGGGGCCAAAGGAAGGTCGCTATGGGACTCATGTAATTCCTTCGGATAATCAAAATCACAGTCCACAATGTAACCGATATCTGCATCATCGGGATGATTTAATATGTCTAACGATTCAAAATCGTCTACGAAAGAGAACTCCCCATAAGGCAATGCTTCACACATTGTAGCTCCGTAAAGGGAGTTAATATCAAAATACATTAAATAAATCGATTCAAGGTCAGGACGATAGTCGTCATTCATGTATTTGTTGTTCGCCTTCGCGTATCTAGTGGAACATTGAGTGATTCCACCCCTAATACCCTTCTCTACGAACATAACTTGATCGATGTCTGTTAATAGTTCCAATTTAATCTCTGTAATTTTGAGCATGGCATCGAAAGCGAGGCCCGGCGCAGTGTAATAATGAAGAGGATCGAGTTTGTAGGTTTTCAGACAAGTGGCGCGAAAATTTTCAAATACGTCTGCCAAAAGAAGCACGTCAGTTTTCAAATACAAATCCGAGTATTGACCGAGAGTTTGAATAGAAAATACGTTCCAAAGATTTAAAGCATGCTCATAATCTTCGTCATTCACGCCGTCGTTACGCAACGAACTGAAAAATTCATTTTTCGGCGGTAATCGGGTTTCATTTAACTTTTCCCACGAGTCGACATACTCATAGGGAAAAACACCCTTTCGCATGAGCAATTTGAATTCGGCATCGTTGCGACTTTGCGATTTCGCTATAGTTTTTTTGTCGTCTCCTAAGTACGAAGCGAGTTTTTCTATACTGCTGCTCATAAACCTAAAGGAGTCGATAAATCTAAAGTTAATGCTGGTATTTTCCACATATTTCGTAAACGAAATATACTTCTCTTTGTTTAAAGGTAAAAGTTTTATTTGGCCAGGTATAGCGGTTGCAAGTTCGCGGATAATGAAGTGCGCATCGTATCCACTCAGATTATGAAAGACCACGGGGATTGTGTGACTGTCTTGGTAGTTTATATTGCATTGCTGGTGCGCTGGGCCGCGATATTTTGAGCTGAGATGGCAGTGATCGCGACAACGAATCTCATTTTCCAAAAACGGCTTTTCACATATGTGGCAATGAGTGGCGTTCTCGAAATCATTCTGCTGAGCTGCACTCAATTTTTCCATCGGCAAAGGGTTGTTAATCTTTGTATTTGCCCACATAGCAATGGTACGCAACTGACTAATAAACCATTTTACACAATCCGGGCCCCGATACAAAAAAAACTTAGAGAGTGAATCGTCATAAGCACACTTGAAATAAAACGCAATGCTATGAGGTATATGCTTTTGAAATGGGTTAGTGTTTTTCCCCACACCGCAAGAATTGTCACACTTTACCAAAATGCTTTCTATATCAGCATAAATCACAAACGGTACTTTTTCCTTATTCGAATAGTGAGAAAACTGCACAATTTTTTCAGATTCAACGGGCAATCTTAGTGCACATTTATTTATTTGATGGCAGCGGACGGTATGCTTTTCCAGTATGTGCTTCGAAGAGAAATGATTTAAGCATATGTGACAGAAAAATTTGGAATGCTCCCTATTTGATAGTTGCGACGACAATAGGCGAGAGAGATTTTTTATCCAAGCAAAATGGTACGATCTATTACTATCGGTTCGAGTAATGCCATTTTCGGATGACAAGACTAACAAATTGATCGGGTTGGCTCCATTTGCATGATTTCTACTCAACATGAAAGGCAGTACGTTTCTCTTCTCTATGCAGTATAAGTTAATAGCGAGATTATTCAACTTTTCAAACTTCTTTATATCGGTTACTTTAATTGGGAATTGAATAGATCCACGATTCAGAACCGCATCGAAGTGGGGATAGCTACTAGTTCGGTTGGGATTCGATTGCGCCGGATAAAGAGCCGAGACAATTGACCACAGGAAACAACACTTATCGTTATTTTTAACATTCACTACGGCTCTCTTATAAGCTATAAACCGAGGGAGATTAATATATGTGGAAAAGCGTCCCCCCCTAATGGGAACATATTTATTTATGTTTACCTTTAAATACAAAACCTCCCTTAACGCCCACCCCGAATTACATTCTTCGAAACCCCCAAGCTTTGTCTGCAATGGATGATACACCTCTCTTAGATACCACTCTCCGAGATTAGTGCCAATGTCAAGAACCGAATTTTTTGTGGCAAAAGTTTTTATATTGACGTCAAGATTGTTGGGGTTTACAAAGTCACAAGAAAGAGACACATTAACTTTCAACATACTTTGCCTTAACATGGGCCGAATTTTCCGTACAACATTGCCGAATGCTTTCTCTAAGAAAATTAAAGGGTCTTTGAAACCGGTATTTACAATAATACCAGTAAGTAATCTACTTTGAAAGCAAGAATTTAAGGTTTGCCAAATTAGGACTGGCGAATTACGATCACTAGTAGAAGGAGCAGGCGTATGACTTATTCCACAACCGCTTTTTCTCGAAACATCTTTCAATTGTTCGCGTAATGTAACTAAATAGTATCTCAATATAGCCAAATTACTTTCTAGCGTAATGGGATTTTCACTACGACTATCTAAATGAATGTTGTTATCGATAGCATTTTGTAGCAAAGAAATGTTTTCCCTTATTATCGAAATGTGCTTTACAAATTCAGATGTTTTAATAATGCAACAGCTTTTCGGGTTGTCTTAACTATATCACTGCTAAGTCTTGCCAGGGATGTAGACTCCATTGTAATTAGTAGGTACTTACTGTAACTTTAACTCAAGACTGTTAAAATTTACGCCGGATTGAACTCTCCACAGTCACCTTGCGTGTTGATAGTGTTGAACTCGTACTCTCGAAAATCTCCACGAGTGGAAAGGTGAAGGTGTAAGTAACCAAATTAAGGGCAATTATCGCCTTATATAGACAAAGTGTTCAAGGTCACCTTTTGCGCAAGACTGTAAGCAACTAGTAGGTGTTCAAAAGCTGACAATGCAGTTATTTGATTCCGGAAATCATACGATGTGTTGTTCTCACTTATTAAATATATCCCTCTTTAGTATTTTGCAAACGATAACAGAGAGTTTGTAATATATAGTAGAAATTTCCTTCCGTTTGTCAGTTCTATTGTCGTCGCGCAACAGAATTAACACAATACAATGTCGTCACGTAAATCCAAACTATCATTGAAAAAACCGGCACCAACTAACATTCTACAGAACATGTTAGAAAGCAACAAAGTGGGGAACAGTAGTACTTGCACCGATAATAATCTGTTCCCCCACTCGCCGAAAAAAGTGGTACCCGGTAACAATAAACCGTTCCCGGCGGCGCCGTTTATGGATGGTGACCAATGTAGTGTCATCACCATCCATTCGGATAATTCAACAGTCCAGTAAGTATCATTAATTGTGCCCTTGATTTTATGTAGCAATGATAATTTGTTATAGAACTCCTGCCAACCTGTGGGAGAATTTTGATGTGGAATTAGTGATGGCCCAATTAGACGGAGGTGACGCTGCGGACCATTTATACTCCAGCGAACGGTTAGTATAAAAGTTTATGTTTAATAATAATAATAATAATTAATGTTGGAAAGTACATGTTTCAAGAACACACCTATTTCTTTGTAGAGTTGTCCCAACGCCACATTTGTCAGAGCAGCAGAAGTCGCCCACTCCACCACCAGAATTTCGAGCTCCTCTTCCACCTCTAGAGCAGGCCGGAAAGTCCGAAGACGAACCGGTCGATCCCAGGGTGTGTGCGAAGAGACGGTAAGTTGTTAAAAAAAAATGAAATCGAATATAACTAAAAATTTGTTTCATCGTTACAGGCGCAAATGTGGCGAGAAAAATTTAGAAGCCCTGTTGAAAATTCAAGGGCAGGAGGCGGGGTACACACCTGAGATGCCGTCCACTTCGGCGGTTCCAATTCCTGCAGCGCGGGAGATTGCTTCCCAGGCGCACCAACTTCTGCAGAAAATGCTGCAGAAGTATGCCATCCAACTGCAAGAAACGCAGGACAAAACCTCTCAATTGGAACGTCAAGTGGAGGCGTCCCGGATGGAGGAAAGAAAAATTGAAGGGGACATGCGGTACATTTTAAGCTTTGTTAATTTTTGTGGTAGGAAATAGTCTATATATAGTTGTAATAAATTAAATTGTTGTAAGATAGTTTTAATAAATAAAAGGTTGTAAGATAATTGTCGTTTACATTGAACAAAAAAAAATTGTTCACATCACCTGCTAATAAAGAAATGTGACATTGGAAAAAGAATGCAACCAAAAGTGCATAACGTAGTGTGATTAGTTGCATAAGTGTAACTTTGCACAATGCAATGGGTTAAGTAGATATGTAAAGTGAGTTGCATTATAATGGAAAAGCGTGTGTAGTAAGTAAAGGTGGACGTCGATAGAGAATAAGATGTACGTCCGTAAGTAGCGAAAGAGATGCAAAACGAGTTGATATGGTATGGTACGTTACCCAGGGGTGGTGGGGGTAGAGGGGAAGGGTAAACAATAAGTTCAAAAATTTTGCGCTCCTGGAATTTTTAAATTTGTCGTGGGTTCTATGCAGTTTAAAAATTTTTCTCAAAGGCAAATGCATTTTATAAGAAGTGTTTTATCTATTGGAAGTATAATTTTCCAAAAATTTCAATGCATTAACCGCAAAATGAGGTCCTCTACATATTACCGAAAAGTGCCGTGAAAATTTAATTTGTACTTACACATTTGCACTTAAGAAAAGCTACATTTACGTATTTTGGAATTTTTAAACTGATAAATACACCCAAAACAATTTTTTCACGAATAACGGTAGTAAAATTCAAAGCGCGTTTCCGCAGCTGACCAAAGAATGAACTTCGTTCCCGCGCGCCGGATATGCAGTTGCGGGTTGAATATCTTTTTATCGCGCGTTTAAATTCTGTGCGATGCACTTTTTCTATGCATAATCTTTTCTAGGTACGATGTTATAGAAATTAGGTCAAACAAATACGTGTGCATGAGACAATTTCACGCTTAATATTTTTTTAGAGAAAACTCAACATGAAAAATTGCACATATTTGATTCGGGTTCATTTACAATAACGTCGCCGCATTTTTTCGTTATGTATTTAATAATAACGATTATCATAGATGTGTTAATGCCAAAAACATTGCATTCGTAGGTAATTCGACGTTTTAAGAATAGCTAATTAGTTGTAGATGCAAATTAATGCGCACCATTGGAAGTGCAGTAGATGCGCGCGTTTTATTCATTTTGCTTTACGAGAAGTTCCTAGAGCTAAAATTAATAATTATTATTTGCGCTTTATGTCTATTTAAATGTACGCCTCACCTACATGATTAATTAGGATGTCATTTATATTATAAAGGTTTTTGGTATAAAATTTTATAATCGATCAATCGAACACATAATCAATTAGAAATTATGATTTGCATTCGAATGCATAAGAAACTGGCCTTTGTATTTAATATTTTTATTATTTGCTAGGGTAAATGGACCAGTTCACTTGTCAAGTAAAATAAGAAATACAATGTATACAAATCTTTATTTTCCTCTATCAATAAGTACGTCAAGTAGGTATATTTAGGTTCATTTAAGCGACGCGTCGTAATTCATAATTCTTGCTTATTAGCTTGAACACACTTAATTTTTTCGGCATTCTCCTGTATTGCGCGTTGGACTTCTTGGCTTTAGTTGTATTTTATTCAATTTTCGCTGTACATCTAGCACTTCTAAATCCCACTTCAACTTTTTAATTTTTCTTAGTAAATCGTCTATTCCTTGTCTCTGTCTGCTCACTTTCGCAGTTATCCTATTTACTTTTGACATCCTTACTGGTACCTATTCTTTATGAATATGACTTCTACGGTGCTCTGCTAAACCCTTTATACGCACCATTACCCAAGAAATAAACCACGATCGAGTTACAACCTTCAATGAGCATAGTTCAGAACCACTTTAGTTTTCACAATCGACCTGTTACCTACGAGGCAACGACTCAAGGTCCTGCTTGACCCAAGTTCAGAACCATTTGACCTTGACGTTAGCTCATAACCACTTTAGTTCAGGCAAGAACCGCCGTCTACGTTTGACCTTTCAGTGACATTGATTTTAGCAGTTTCAAACCCACGTTCACGTTTCACCTTCAGTGACATTGATTTTAGCAGAGTTTCAAACCCACGTCCACGTTTCACCTTCAGTGACATTGATTTAGCAGAGTTTCAAACCCACGTCTACGTTTGACTTGCCAGTGACATTTATTTAGCAGAGTTTCAAACCCACGTCTACGTTTGACCTTCCAGTGACATTGATTTTGAACCGGCTATACTATACTATGATAAGGGTTACATCAATTTTCCGAATTTGCGGCTACCTCTCAAAAGGAGAAAATCGACTATAATCTGGAGAAAACCTCGGGTCACCGATAAATGTAAGTTATGAATAATTATATAATAAGTATTGAATAAATTAGGAAATGATAGCAAAGATGGAAGTGAGAAAAGTAGAAAAACATCAATACTGAAGGAGGTAGCGTATATCGGAGACTAAATGCGGAGTTGAGAAAAGGAACCTGAAGCCAGGAAAATGTGATGGGAATAGAAAACCTTGATAGGATAGGAAGACACACAATACTATTTTCAACAGGATTAAAAAGGTTATCTGGGATAGATCATCAAGAACTGGTTGCAGCAATGAGATGGAAGACAGAAATGGAAAAGTACTGAAAGAAGGGAAAGCAATTCGAAGTCGATGGAAAGGGTAGGTCTCTATGAAAAACCAAGCTAATTGGAACTGAAAACAGAAGAAATATAGGAGCCAGCATTATGTGAACCGAAGTAGAATGAAAGATATGAAATCAGGAAAAGCTACGAGGATAAAATTCCAGTAGATATATTAAGGTGTCTTCAGGAAAAAGGAATGAAGGAATGAATAACGATATATACGATTTCCTGAAGACTCTGATGATACCTCTGGCTAAAAAGAAAGGAACAAAAAAGTGTGGTGAACATAGAACAATCAGCCTGGTAGAATACGCAGCCAAAATATTGTTGAAAGTATTAAATAGCGGGCTGGAGAGAAAATAATGTGGTAGAAGAGAAATTTAATAGAGGGATGGGAACTAGAGATGCTCGTATAATTTGCAAGAGATTTTTAACTTTAATTTACATTTAAAACTTGACGCGTTTGTTTTACTGCACGTATTCAACCTCGCGACCGGATCAGCAAAAAACCTCTGCAAAAATAAAACAAGATCTCCAGGATATCACACCAATATATAAAGGTTTCATTGCCTGAGACCGTAGTTGTCGTCCGTCTGACGGGCAATAAGACAAAATTAATATCTATTACGTGACCAAACGGCCGATTCAGTCTCGCTCGTAAACAACGATACGTGTGCAGTTCAGGTGTCTGACTAATAGATTTTCTATGCCTAAGATTGGTTTCAATATAAAAAGTGTATGAGCAGAACGAATAAAGACGCCCGCTTGATCCTATTGGGACCCATTTTTGGGGCGTGTTAGAAAATTTAAAAAGAGTACGAATGCTTCTGATGGGATAGTCGAGGGACATTCAGCGCATCTTCAAAGGTTACGGGTATGATTTCCGTATTTGACTCCAAAATCCGTAGCCAACAAACGGGTACCGAATGCGGAACGCTTCAATTAAACAAAAAGTGTTTACAGGGAAAAGTTGTGAATTTATTCATCAACGTAAAATTTCACCCGACGTAGAAAATAAACAGAGACGTAAACTTTGTTCATCAGTTTACGAGGTAATTTATTTTTTTTAATTTATTTATTTTGCCTTTATTTTTGAGTGGGCGGGCTTTCAGCCACTAACGCCGGAGGCGCCCTCTTGCGAAAAGTGTAGGAACTAGACAGCACTAATTGTCGTAATTTTTCGATCCGATTGCTTGCAAGTAAAAGCTTCTAATGAATTTGTAGCTACTATCTTAAGCAATTGCTGGATAGTTCGAGATTGATATGTACAGGAAATGGGGACAAGTTGTAACAGTTTAGTTTATTTATATTCAAATTTCAAAATTACCGCTTGCTACGTTAGGCAGGATATAGGTGAGATGGCGTCACTTGTACGCGTGCTTCTTTCCTCGCGCAGAATCGCGTAATTTTTTCACTTCATTTCCGTTTTAAAAGCCAACGAGGTTGTACTTGTAGAGCGTGGCATTGTGAATTCTTCTAAAACCAGTGGGTAATATTTGCCATCATTCACGTAAAATCTCTGGCAATTTTACCTTTTTATTGGCGTTGTCGAGTAGTGTAACTCTGAAGCCGTTTTCTCCATTGTGAGGCTATATCTGGTGGAAGTTCATCGCCCTACCTACATGTAAGTGAAATGGCGTTGGCTTTCTTTTACGTTATGTTATCTAAAATTCTTTCAGATTCACAACCTCTTGGATAATTTCCATATTTCATTGATTTAAGTATTTTTCATTACCCTCCTGACGATTTCAGGTATGTTATTAAAAATCTCGTTAAGGGAGTGTTACATCTTCATTACTTTTAGGGGGTCCATGTAGTAGATGAATTCTTGTATGTAAATGAATTTGCATCTGGCGAATATTCCGGAGTACGAACACCTGTTGATTGCCGGCAGCTATCCGGCGTACCACCGAGTAGATAAGCGCTAACACCTAAACGATACCGGGAGCGACCAGCTGATTGTGGAATTTTCGGAAGATACGATCTTTTACACAACCTTTTTTATTTGCTTCAATACCGTTAATCTAGTGTAACCTTCCGACGATTTATGATCGGAGCTTTGTATTTTGTTCGCATCTAGTGTTTTGAGGTCGTGGCTCTCTTCAAGAGCAACGCACCTGTATTTAACGTATGGGTAAACGAGCCGGCTACGAGTAAGCTATTTTAGTTTTGGCCCTTCTGGCTCATATAATCGTTCCGAGCGTTGTAGCTTGGGGTTTGTTTTTGTGTTACAGAACTGGAACTTCGAAGGAGAGCTCTTTTTCGGAGGAGACAGCGTATGTGTTATTCAAGGTAAGATTTTTAATTTACTTGTACCCAGTGTTGCCTATATGAGTTGTTATTCGGGCTAACTTAATTCAATCTTTGAATCCATTGAAAGCTTAACTACATTTTTGCTCGATCATTGTTGTAGGGGTCTGGTAACGTAATAAATTATTAAGGAAGTGTTCATGAATTTATTTGGGGATTATTTTTGTCATTTAAAGTA